CGAGTTCTAGTCCTGCCTTAGGCATGAAAGACAGCTGGGTGATTTGAGGCCAATCACCAGGAGACAGCGAGTTCTAGTCCTGCCTTAAGCGTGAAAGCCAGAAGGGGGGACTTTAGACCAATCATGCTCTCTCAGCTTTACTCACTTCACAGAGTGGTGGTTGTGGGGGGAGAGAGGGGGGGAAGGAGGATACGTTTGCCACCTTGAGCTATTTGTAAAAACAATAAAGGTAAGATACAAATAAATAATAATATGCTGGCCAGAATTTGCATCATGAAAATCACATTGTCCCCCAGATCTCATGTGAGAAAGTCATAATCACCTACGACTCAAAAATCTCAGAAAAGTTTGGCTTTTCAATTGTTTTTGAGGAAAAAGCTGTGGGGCTTTTAGGATACAATGTGCAACCTAATAGAACCAAGTAGAAGCATGTTGTCGTACTCCAGTCAAAATTAAGACTTCAGACATATAAATATTTACTCATCTTTGCAATTTAGGAAATCACCAAATTTGTGGGGGAGAAACCTGCTTAATCTAGTCTTTTTATGTTTTCTTTAGTGGCAGGGAATCAAAGCTAAGCCTACCTCTTAATTGTGAGCATTAATCACAATGACAGCAAAGTATAAGGACTGCCACATCAAAAGAGGGCATTTGCTTTTGAACTTTCCCCTTCACAAAATTACTTCCCAGCCCACAATGGAATGAAAGTGGGCCTGAATGAGAATCACTTTATCTGTCCAGGAAATGTTTGGCTCAGATCCAAAGGCAAATGATATCCAGTTTCATGCAGTTTGTAAGACACCTTAGCGATCCTTTAGGGAGCAATAGATGACTTTTAAGTACAGAGGATGAATAATTATGATATGATCTGGGTTTGCAGGCTGTCAGCCGATCAGAAAACCCTTAAGCGTTTCCTGACTACTTGATCAATTAAAAAAAAAAAAAGAGCTTCCTATAAAGACCAATGCACGTTTTTCAAATCACCCTGAAAAATATTTGTAAAATTAAAAAGAGCCATTCCCGGCTGTTTATGAAATACGTCTGAAACTCTGCTTCTACAACTTTAGTGCCCCAAGTGTAAAAAGCATTTGTTTTCCTGCTAATTTTTAGGTAGACATGGTGCTTTTATAAAGGGAGACCTAAAACAACATAAGGAATTCAAAGAGCATTAACCCAAAACCACACGAAAGCCTGGACTAGCCAGATTTCTACAAGAGGGAGGAGAGAACAGATTGTCCTCTGTTTCTCCAAAATTTCCCATTTGCATAAGGATAAAGCAAGCAGGACACCATCAGCGCACTAAAGAGCATTATCAGCAGACTGAGAGAAGGCCCTGACAGTTTAAGGGGGCTGACAGTTTAAGGGGGTGGGTGGAGAGAAAATCTGAGATGGAGCTGAGGAGGGGGAATCCTAAAGTCTAGACCGATTAGATCCCACAGATTAGGCCTCCTCCGAATTTCATCCGCCAG